ATGTCCCACTGGAGAGATGTCATGTTTAAATTCACTTATGATTGACCTTACTCCAACATTGCTATATGAAAGGGCCAAGATTTTTTTTTTATCCTTTTTGTAAGTCTTGGCTCCCTTTCTGTAATGAAGCAATTAGCCTGAGCTGACCTCTAGCCAAATGTTTTTGTGGTTAAGTTTCAGCTGCCTTGAGGACAGTCAGCTGCTGGGTAGGTTTGTTGTTGTTGTTGTTTTGTTGTTGTTGTTTGTTTTGTGTTGTTGTTGTGTTTTTTCTGATTTTAGCTGTTTAATTATTACCAACTACTGGAGTTGGGTAAGATATAGACTTATTCCTTAGAACAGTGTGTGTTACAGACACTGAATTTTTTTTCTGTTAAATAACAGGGACTTGATATGGGGCTTTTGTCTTTCATGTGCATATAAGGGTAGATGTTGGGAGGTAAATATTAGTATATTGCCAAAGGTCACTTCTATCCCAAAGCTGGCAGAGCAAGCTGTCTCTTGCTAGGTTAACACTGTAGCCTCTGAACAATACTGTTCTGGTTGGCAGTGAGCTTGCAAGTGTCTCAGAGGAACAGCAGCAGGTGGTTGCAAGACAGATTTGTGAGAACTTTCTGAGTAGTTGTCTGATGATGGGGCAGATGGCACTTCAGAGGACTCCTCTCAGAAATTTTATTCTGTACCACCAAAAGTATTATCATGACAGGGCAGCTCATGCTTTGGACCAGATTTTCTGTCACAAAATGGGAGCCATGGTAGGATAGTTCTCTCTTAGCCTCCAATACATCTAGAAATGTAGTCATACCTGCATCCGAGCAGAGCTTCTGGTATATCTGCTGGATGCAGAGGTCCTGGAGTCCTGGTGCTTCACACCCCTTGCAGAGCTTCTTTTGCCTGTGAAAGACCTTAAGTATGAGCCTGTCCCAAGGGTTCTAGATTTTTGCTCCAAAGAGGCTAGCACAGCTTTCCCTTTCTGAAGGCTGCTGTACAAAGGGTTGGTTTATCCATATTTTCAGATGAGAGCAGTTACCATTTTTGAGCTCTGTTCTGTCCATATTGGGCATGTTCAGAGTACATCAGTTGGATTTCTCTCCCAGGTGCAACTTGTCTGGACAGATAACTAACTGAAGTTATCCACATGAGATGCCACAAGGATTTAGCCAGAACAGAGACACTGTTGCTTTGCCTTGCTAAGAATCTACAGAAGAGTCATAATTTGTTTCTACTAGTGAATTTTACTAGTGAAAAGTTGTCAGCAATTTTGATCACTTTTGATGTTTAGGAATGCAAATCTTGTGCCCTGTTTCCCAGACCTAGCTGTTTTAGTCAAGGTCTGTTGCTCAGCGAAAACTTGCCCAATAATTACAGAACTGCTCTTAAGCAAGTAGTAGCTGCTGCTGGGGGGGTGGCTGTGTCCTGCCCTCCACTCTGGCTTCTCACTCCCACGCCTCTGCTGCCCTGGCTGTGCTCCTGGGCTGCGTCTTTGTGGAGTCCCGATAAACCCAGTCAGCAAACAGATTTGTTACAGTAAATGTTTATGGATTAATTTTAAATGGAACAATTTCCTGACAGAGTTCACTGCGTGCAGGTATGTAAACAAGTTTGCCAGTGCAAGAGGAGTAGCAGTACTGGAGAGGGACTGTTTTAATCTGCTGCAGCAAGAGCTTATTGAAGTCCAATGTGATTGCTGACCTCTGGGATGTATTTCCAGGCTCCTGTGTCAAAATACTCTTCTGGGGAGGAAGCTGAGATGGCTGCCAGTCACAGTGCAGGGATAGAGGGAAGAGACCTCCTGTCTGTGCTGTGATAGCTGCATGTGGGGGCTGATCCTGGTCCCACCATAGAGTTGTTTGGTGCAGTTTGAAAAACGGAATGGTGTCAGATGTGCTCTGAATGATGGACTCTGTTGATGACATTTATTCTCACAGAAGAAGTCCTGTGAAGGTTTGGGCTTTTTTCTTCTGGCTCAGCAAGAAGAAGTAGGAAAGTTTCAGAAAAGCAGTAGAAACATCAGCAGAGGCTGGTGATCATGGGAGAACAGGGGAGTGTGAATATGGAGGCAGCATGGGATGCCTGGTTATTGCAACAGCGAAAGAGAGCAGGAGTGTTGTAAATTAAGTGACATTGTGCTTAGGTTGTAGAAGAGAAAATAAAACTTGAGGGAGAAAATGGAAGGGCTGAAAAGGGATGGGGCAGACTCTTTGACAGGAGAAGAGAGGAATTGTCAAATACAGGTAAGCATTTCTGTAGATTGATCAGTAAGAGACAGTAAGAGTCTTTTGAACAAGAATACAGATGGGGAACAGTTGAGCCAACTGAAAATGTAGCTGTTCTTGGCTGAACCTCGTGCTATGCCAGTGTAGTTCCTCTCCGAGAGTAGGAGGATTGTTGGCCTGTGATTTGCTTTAGGAACTTTTTTTGCTCAGCCATATGTGCTCCAGCAGCTGCAGCCTTCACTGCTCCTGGTCCTGCTCCCCAGGCTGCCTCACCCACACCACCCTAAATCCTCAGTAATGGTACCCCTTCTTTCTTCCTGTCCACTTGAGAACAGGGGAGTCATCTTTGGAGAGACACATGTCTGCTTGACCTGGGGAAAGCCCTGTCTGGTGCCTGGCAGGACCCTTGAGCTCCCCCAGCTCTTCTCTCCTCAACAGCTGCCCTGTGCCCAGGGGCAGCAGCTGGACACCCCCACCATGGTGTGGGTGCAGGTGGAGCAGGTCCTGGCTTGCCTGTGTGGGTCTTGGTCAGACTCTGCTAGGCTGTTGTGGCTGAAATAAATGCCTCCTCTGCTGAGCCTGAAATTCAATAATTGTTCAGTAGTTGTCTTAATGAGAGTCTTAGAAATACCTTCTTATTTTCAAGTTTTGTGCTAAACAGCATGAATAAGAAATTTGGAGTTGGTGATGGTTTTTTCTGTAGTGTGATTCAGTCTGTTCTCTTGGGGTAAGATAATTAAGGAGGGAATTATCTTTTAAATTCAGTCTTACCATAGTTTTACATGCTCTGAGTGCTTGTGTTTTATAGTTCCTGACTAAATGCAAGCTTTTCTAACTCTACTAGGAGACTTACTAGTTTTGATACTCAAATTTGACAGCATCAGTTGTTAATCAACAACACACACTTGGAGATTGTTACTCATTAGTGGGCTTGGTTGTTTAGACACTTGTGACTTAATCTCCTGTTAGATGAAGAAAGAAAATATCTAATTGAAAACACTGCAGCATAGAATTAAGGTTTGTCATACCAATTTAGAATAAAATGTGAAAGTGAAGCTATTTCTTTCTCTCTGCTATCTCACTGAGCTGGACTGTCAGTGTATCTTGGCAGTTTTGGAACATAAAACAAGAAGCTGCTGCCTGACTGTTGTTTCATGTTTCCATGTTCATTTTGGTGTTGTTGCTTTGGTTTTGAAGGCCTCCATTAGTCTCTCTTCTCCACTGGCATGGTTGTAAATGGTCCACTGTGTATGTTTTCCCCCTACTGCACATGGAGACCTCATGAGCTTTTGAGGGCATGGTAAAGTTTTCTGCAGAAGGCTGCATGGCCACCAAGTACAGCATAGCTCAGCTTCTGCCCTTCCCTGATGTTATCAGATTCTGCTGATAACAGCAGGAGCAAAGTAGTGTCACTCAGACAGGATTGTGTGATGGATTTGTAAACTGTGTGTCTGCAGCCCAGGTGAAATAGGGAGAAGGAAGACTGTGTTCTGGGAATGTTGTAAAGGCTTGTTGGGTTAAGCTTAGACTGTAAACATTTGTATGCTTGGAGGTTATTAGGGCTTGTGTGGGTATGCTCAGGTCCATCAGAAGATGCCTCCTCAGACATGATGCAGGTAGAATGTTCCAGTGTAGACAACCTCCATGGCAGCCCCTGAAAAGCAGCATGGCAGGGCAGAGACACCCAGACAGCAGCTCAGCATTGTGCAGGATGCCACTGGTAACAGAGCAGAGAATTATTCCAGGTTTCTCTCATCCTTGTTGCCCTCTTTGCTCCTGCCTGCTGTTGATCTGGGGCTGGAGATACTGAGCTGGTGTTTATCTGCTGTCCTGGCATGGGAGCTGGCTTCCTGCTGTGCATCCCTCCTCTCAGCTTTACTGCAGGTAGTCCTAGGCCCAGGAAGGGTAATACATTGCATGCAAAGATGAGTACAGCTTCAGAGGAGCATGAGCTGGAAATGGGATCATCTGGAACAGGCTGGAGCACCTCTCCTATGCGGACAGGCTGAGTGAGTGGGGGATGTTGATCCTGGAGAAGAGAAAGGTCCAGTGAGACCTTATAGCACCTTCCAGTACCTGAAGGGAACCTACAGGAAAGCTGAAGAGGGACTTTTTATAAGGGCTTGTAGCAGGAGGACAAGAGGTAATGGCTTTAAACGGGAAAAGGGTAGATTTAGGTTAGACATTAAGAAGAAATTCTTTCCTGTGAGGGGTGGTGAGACATTGGAGCAGGTTGCCCAGGGAAGTTGTGGATATTCCTGTTCTCTCAGTGTACGAAGCCAGGTTGGATGTGGCCCTGAGCAACCTGGTCTAGTGGGAGGTGTCCCTGCCGATGGCAGAGGCACTAAAACACTATGATCTTTTTTTGCTTCCAACCCAAACCATTCTATGATTCTTATTTTTGTTCACTGAAAGGGATACTGTTATTTTCTTACTTACTCATTTAACCTAGGCTAGTCATTGGAAACCCAAAGGCTGCTCCGAGAGGAGTGCAGGTGCTTCCTAGAAGCAGGCTAGAGATGGACAAGACTTGATTATTTCCACCTCTATATTAAGTGAACGAGAAACCCATAAGCTAGTTCTCTTGTAAAAATAGTATTTACTCTCTGCCCTCAACTGCAAGATCATGTATGGCTTTATGAGGCAATAAACTGTAAACTAAATACACTTCTGGTTTAAATCCAGTCAGAAATTCAATAAAACTATATAATAGTTTAAATGTTGTATCACATTAGTTATTAATATTATTTTACAAATAAACTCTCTTATTGTCTTTTGTTATTACAGAATTAGAGGCATGGATCTTTGGTATCTGCTGTTTACTTTGGCATTGGTCTGTGCAAATGACTCGCTTTCTGCAAGTGATGGTAAGTTTTATGATACCTTTCTGTGATTTTGTGTGTGTACATACATAGAAAGCTTTATATAATGAACATTTTTATATGTGTCAGGACTAAGCAGCTTCCATGACTGGAATAATCTGTGTAACATACTGTGAAATGTGAAAAGTATGTCAGTTAATCTTGTTGTAAAGACAGTGGATAAGTTTGAGACATGTTGCAGAATGAAGGCGAATTTCATTGACAGCATTACATGTGTGATGTTTAAACAGGCTGGATCTGTGTTGGTGATAGATACCTGGATTTTCTTTGCTCAAGTACTGAAGTTGTGAAAGAATTTTATGGGGCTCATTGTTTTATAGAAAGTGGTGGGTTTTTCCCATAACAAGTCTTAAGTGTAAAACCTTTTGGAAGTACAGAGGAAGCATTTTAAGACTGTGCACTTTGGGTCTGAGGTCAACATGAACAAGTTTCTGAAGAAAGACACTTAGGAATTCTTGAGAAGAGGTTATAGAAGGGATTTGAAAAGAACATGAACCCTCAGCAGTTCCTAGTGTATCTGACCACTGAAGGCAATGAATGAATCAAGTTTTCATTTTTGTTCTCTGCTTTCATTTCCTACGTGTAGCAGTAGTTTAATTCTGCTACTTACATATCCTATGGGAAATCAGTGCCTATAAGAAGTATGTAGGAAACTGTGGAGCAGTGAAGTGTTTCTTTTCATATTGGAATTGGGCTGAAACAATATGGGGCCTTTATTTAATGTGTTTTGCATCCTTCTCTGTCTTCTGGTTTGGTTAAAAGAAGAGGAATTTCCTGGTAGCAATTTGGAGAATAAAGCTTATATGCTCATTTTTCCTGCCTTGTGTAACAATCTCTTTTAGTTAGACACATGAACTGAAATTAAATTTGCAAATTGCTCCTCGGTTCTCCTGAAACATGGAAAGTCAATATTTCACAGTGAAATATGATACATGTACCAGCTTCTATTCGTTGCTTCATACAGAATGGTCAATACTGCATTTGAAAGTACATTCATTCAATAGACAAAAATAACCCCTTCCCAGATGCAGTCTACTGGACCTATTTATTTCTCTCTGAAGGTTAAGAGCACACGAGGATTTTTTGATCCTTGGCAGATGAGGTGTGGTCCAGATGTCCTAAGTTCAGCAAAAATCTGTGTTATGAATAACACTTAACCACAACATCACCTTTGTGTGACTTAGCCTATACTGATGAAATAGTAACTTCTTTCAAAGCCTACTTTCAAAATCAGAAAATGAAGAACATTTCAGTTGTGTTCCTGTGCTTAGAATCCAAGACACAATACTAAATATATATGTCCTGATTTGCTGTATTATTAAGAGTTGTGTGTGAAGGGAAGAGAGTTTTGTTGTCCAGAGAATAAATTTGTAACCACTGAACTGCTTCCAGTGCTGCAACACATTTATTCTGAGCAGGCGAAATGCTCAGCTGATAAAGTCAGACAAGAAATTGTAAGACAAACAGAAATACTTGAGATAACAGCACTCTTGCATGATTTAATACAAAGTATTAGAGGAATCCTGTTTATTAGCTATTTTGTTCTTTGGTTTTTTTTCCCTATATGAATGTGCTTGCACCTGCAAAAATTCTCTTGAACATCTAGACTCACTCAGGTGATCATCCTGACAGTCTCACAGAGCTCTGCCCAGCACAGTCATGTTCAGGCCTTCCTACAGACTTGAACCAGATGTGTTCCATACCTGTCTCATACCTGTTATGGTGCTGAAGGGACTGCATCTACGGTGTCACGGTTCCCTAAAAAAATCTCCTTCCCTAATCGTGTTTCTTCTGGCAGCACGTGTAAAAATCACACTTACTTGCTAATCTCACAGCAACGCACGCTGCTGGGGCAGTGCAGGGCAGACCTGCACACGGAAGGCTTTTAGGTCTGGAAAGCAAGCAAAGCTGACGTTCAGCCTTGGAGCCTGTGCTGGGAGCTGATGCCTGCTGGGGCTGGGCCCACGCTTGGCAGGCAGTGAAGTCCCACACATGTTTCCTCCTGGCGGGGGAGAGGGTGTGGGGCCAGCAGCTTGGCCAGGCAACTGTGCAGCATTTGAGACCAGGTATTGGACATTTATTTGCCTATTTGCTGTCTCCAGGCTGGTGCCAAGTTCTGCTGGAGGCTTTCCATTGATTTAGCTCATTTTCGTGCTCTACTTTTGCAAAGCAGTTGGCTTGCCAGCTCCTTAAACTGAGGCTGTGGCTAGCATGAAGTGAGGGGAATGCCCACCCTCTCAGAGATGGCAATACTCAATGTGACCAAGCATGTCTTCTGCTCCAGGTCTTTGTAATTCAGAGCTGAGCAGACCTGGGACTTGCAGCCTCCTGGCAGGGGTCACTCACCCACACACACACTGTGCATGTCCTTGAGATGCCTGCTGGACAATGCTCAGGGAAAAACAGAAGCAGTGGTAGAAAGAAAATGTAAAGGCCACAGTAACAGGAAGGCCTTTTTTTAATAGTTCTGTAGTTACCACAGGTAAATGGGCTTTGTGTCCTGGGGACTGGAAAACCTAAGACCCAATTTCACACCTAATGAAGACATTTTTGTTAAATCAACAGAAGTTACACTCCTAAGAGTCTAAGTTGCTTTGAAGGTGCAATAGTGTGGGATTTAAAATGTTTTGTTTGGTTTAGTTTAATTAGGAACATGAACAAGATAGAGCACTACTTCATGAGTAGATCATCTGCATCTGTGCAATATTAGTTATCACTGAAGAAAAAAATATGAGTTTATATAAATGTACACATACACAATTTGTGTTTGAGGTATTTACATTAATGCAATGTTTCAAATACATACCCAGCATAGACTTAGACATTTTGGTTTAGTGTATCTGCTCACACCAGAAGTGGTTGAGGGGAATTGCTCCAGGCACAGATTGCAAATAGTTTAGGAAGCAAAATAAATTTTGTCTGCTTGTTCCTTCTCTACAACTGATGAGTGCAGGTCACATAAGGACAGAGAGGAATAAACTGGGAATTAGTCCCAGTTAATAAAACAATACATAAGTGCAGGCAGTTCCAAAACTAATTCCTTCCTAGTGAAAAGAAGTGGGAAACATCTTTTATCATTTTTTATTCTAGATAAAAGTTCATTACAGACTACTATAGCTATGCTAACTCATCCTCTGAAGCAGGTTTAGAGGCGTCATGTTTAATGAATAAAAGAATAACCATATTTTTGAGTGAACTGGGTTTGTACAATTATAATTTTAAGAGCTTGAAGCCTGAATTTATTGTTCATTTTATCTAATCTGATTTTAGAAATTGATTTTTTCCATCAAAACTTCAAAAATTATTCTGTGAAGCTGTGGTGCTCAAATGCTCTAATGTCCTCACTTTTATATAAGAAGTAGGATTAACTGTTTTGCCCTCTGAGATGTATCAAATCTCCTTTTTACTTCCATTAAAATGTTCTTTTGTTATGCTAGTGTCTGCCCACTGACTGTACCTGAATGCTTGGGCTTGCATGGGCTACATACCTAGATTAAATCATCTAAGTATAGGTGTGCACAGTATATCAAAGTTCCCCTTTGTAGACCTGGAGATTGAATCCATAACCCATGCAGAGAGTTTTACTGTCCTTAGAGACACCCCGTGGCACCCAGAATATCTGCATGGAACTCACAGCGGTGACAAAGGACCTTCATCAGCATCATTCTGGAATAGCCAGAAGCTTAAAGAGCTCTATAAAAAGCTCAAGGCCAGGTATCTCTTATATACCTGAACACCCATTTTCAGGCAGTTAAATCAACTCCATTAGCTGCTCTTTGTTCCAGGGACTATATTGACTAGCTCTCCATTGACTGTTGGGAACTTGGTCACCTGAGGATGAGATTCATTCATGTATACAGATATCCTCTAGGTACCCAAGAAACTGCATGAGACTTGTGGGTAAGACATCTGTGCCTTTTGAAGCAGAAACTGAAAGGCAAGCGGAGTATCCTAGGCAGTATGAGATAGCTACAGAGGTTTAGGTATCTGGATTTTGCCTACCTCGCAAAAAGGGAGCTCAATATTGGTGTCTTCAATTTGAACTGAGCCTCACGTTTATCACTGCCTTTTTTTGTTCTGCATAATTCTGGGTGCTTTCTTCTGGGAGTGTCATAGCTGCTCAGCCACACGCTGTACATCTACAGCCAAGGTGGGGGGTCTCCTCACTGGATTGACAGGATAGCAGCTGGGTTGTGGCTGACACTGTGAAGTAGCTGGATGGTGTTTACGGGCATGGATGTGACTTCCGTGACACACAGAGGAATCCTTAGTCTAAGCAGGAAGAAGCCTTTGAATTGCAGCATATTCTCTACAGAGAAAGGGAAATTTATCTTGTCTGTTCATGGAGTCAGGAAGCACCAGGGACTCTGTTGCTCGGCTTGAAATATTCAGAAAAAAGATCGATAGCCTTGTGGAGTCTTGGCTGGAAACGTGTTGTGATTTAGGCAAACTGAAGTTTTATAGATTTCAGTCAGTGTAATGACAAGCCTTTGCTCACACATGAGGGGTATTCTATTACTTTTAACTAGTTTTTTATTATTATCAGGAAGACATGACATATTTGTGTGTATAAAAATCTTAATCTCGTTAATAAGTGACAAAAGATAATGAGAAAAGTCAGTGTCATAATACTGTTAGAAGTAATTTGTTCATTGTGGTCATTTTCTCTTCTTTGATACACCTTTGATACACCCTTTATCTGTGTTATGTTCTTTCTCAATTATATGCAGCCAACTCAATACAGAACAGAAGCCAAAGCAGAGCTGGCAGTAAAACCAGAAAAGCTCAACACTGTGATCAGCTTGGTGCATCCTGGTTTAGATGGGCAGGGGCAGAACTGTTGAGAATATGGATTTGAAACTTTTTACCTGTAGACAAGACCTTTTAGAATAGTTGCCTTATTTTCAGGAGTTTAAGTGTTTCTGAGCAAGAAATATGTTCCATTATGTAGAAGTTGCTATGGAGCCATTCCCAGGAGCCAGGAT